AGATTATATCTGGAAGGCAGGAGATTCCTTAGGGCGACTTTTGGTGTTACCATGTCCTGTGATTAAGGTCAATGGGAAACTGCAACAACCCAATCCAGACAGGACAACAAATGGCCCAGACCCTTCAGGGGTGAAAGTATGGGTCACTCCTCCAAGGAAAGAGCCAAGACCTGCAGAGGTGCTTGCTGATGGTGGAGGAAATACAGAATGGGTAGTAGAGGAAGGTAGGTACAAATACCAACTTAGGCCACGTGACCAGTTGCAGAAACATGGATTGTAATTGAGATGAGTATTTTTGTCCTATTTGGTTAAGAATAGGCTTGGACATGTATACACAAATGTTAAGCAGATACTTGAGTTATTCTTTTTTTGAATGTGTAATTGAGATAAGTGTTAAGTGGTTAAGTGTTGTGAACCTATGTGATCATCTTGGGTTATGAGATACTGAAGGACTAAGCATTTCTCGAAGACCTTATCACCTACTCTAAGATATGTAATGCATTGGTCATTGTATGATGGGATAGTTATATCATGTTAGGTGAAATTATGACCTCAACATTGTTTTCATTTAAAAATTAAGCATGACATAGAGAGATGCTATTGGGTGTCAAGTTGATAAGGGGTGGACTTGTGATGGCTAATCCTGGGTGTCAACTTGTCTGGATCTGAAATTAACTGAAATGAGAGAGATCTTCTTGATTGGATCATCTGAAGCTGGAAGACATGCCTTAAATGTGGGTGTTACCTTCTGATGACAGCCTGTGTAAAAGGCCATGGCAGAGGAGAATGCCTGCTTCTTGCTGCTTGCCTTCTTTCTCGCTGGTGAGTTCATCTTGCTGCTGTAGACTGAAGACTAACTGATCTTTTGGAATTTGTCAAGACCTTCAGCACCAGATCAGGACTACTGAGACATCCATCCTTGTGGACTGAGCGACTACGGATTCTCAGCCTCTCCAGTGTGGTGCAGCCATTGTTGGACTACTTGGACTCTATCTTGTGAGCTAGGCTGATAAATCACTATACATATATATTCATTCTACTGGTTCTGTTTCTTTGGAGAACCCTGACTAATACAGCTCCCCAGCACCCCATGTAAAAAAGACAGGCCTGGCAGCATGTGTCTATCAGTGTTGGGAGGCTGAGACAAAAGGATCCTGGGGCTTATAGGCCAGCCGGGCTAGGCAATCAGGTTCAGTGAAAGAAAGACCCGGTCTCAAACAATGTGAAAAGTGACTGAGGAAGACACCTGATGTCATGATCTCTGGTCTCCACAAAAGCACAGGTGGTACATGTACACCCCATACATGTACACACTACACACACACACATACACACACACACACACACAAAACCTAACCAATTTCTATCTGCTTTAAAAAGCAGATACTTTATGTATATGAATTATTTATACAGTATAAAACAAAATGATCTTTAACTCATTTTCTTAGACTATTACCTTAATATTAATCCCAGATGAGGACTTTAGAGATAGGGAAGTTGAATGCTTCATTCAGTTATGAACACAGATGCAGAAATCATAAAACATCAAATAAAATTCAGTCAAGATTCATTTTTAAGTTTAGATTAGTAAAAGTATCTGTGACTTCTCATATGATTTTATATGAGGACTTCTATTCAAGTAATTTACCTGAGGAGTAGTTTAAGAAAAAAAAAACTTAAATTTCTTAATAGGTTCAAGCAAATATATTTGATAAAACAACATGTGTTCATATTGAAAGTTTTTAAATAAACCAGGAACAGAGGAAATGGAAATTGCTAATCTTTTTTTTTTCTTTTGGTCTTTTTGAGACAGGGTCTCCCTGTAGCCCCAGCTGTCCTGGAACTCACTATGTGGACCAGGCTGGCCTTGAACTCACAGAGATCCACCTGCCTCTGCTTCCTGAGTGCTGGGATTAAAGGCGTGCGACACCACGCCTGGCCTAAATTGCTAATCTTGATAACAGATATCAACCTAAAATGAATAGCACCCGATGGTGAAATATTACAAGTATTCTCTTTAAAGAAAGATGACACATGGCAGAAACACCCTTTACCACCACTTCTCTGCCACAGTTTTTATTTCTGACTCAATGATAACAAGAAAAAGAAATAAAAAACTATAAAAGAACAAAATGGTGATTTTTGAAGATGAATGTCTATATAAAGAGTTTAAAAGAATCTCTAGAACCAAACAGAAAATACAACAAAATTGCTAAGTGAAAGATCTATATACAAAAACAAAACAAAACAAAAAACAATTTACTTGTATTCTCATAGACCAGTAGTCATCCAATGTAAGTGGGAAAAACTCCATTTATAGAATATCAACTGTAAGTTGACTTAGGAATAAATCAAACAAAAAGCATACAGGAGGAGTTTACTTTATGGAGGACAATTTTAAAACTTTATTGAAACACTGGAAGCCTAAATATATAGAGGTGTGTGTGTCCATGTTTATGAAGAAGGAAACCTTGAGCCTGTGGGGATGTTGGGTCTGTGCAAATTAATAGACTCAGAGTAATCCCAGAGTACTCTGATGAAATTTGAAAAACTGATTCTTATTTTATTTATTTGTTTGGTTGTTTTGTCTTTTTGAGATAGGGTCTCCCTGGAGCCCCAGCTAGCCTGGAACTTGCTATGTAGACCAGGCTGGCCTCGATCTCACAGAGATCCACCTGCCTCTGCCTCCTGAGTGCTGGGATTAAAGGCATGCGCCACCACAGCCACTATTTATTTATTTTTGAAGCAAGGTTTTGCCATGTTGACAAGGCTAGCCTCAAAGTCCTGAGTTCCTATCTTAGCTAGAATCATTGATGTACAACACCAGCCAAAAAATTTTCATAGATGAGCAAAAGCCCAGGAAAGCAAAGGGATAAAAGGAAGCCAGGAGGACTCATTTTAGCAGATATCACAGCTTATTGTTGGGGTGTGACTGGGATGGACCAGCAGACACAGCAGTGGATCACACTAGAGAGCCTAGACTCTGACTCACTCGTGAGTGATGGACTCAGAGGTGAGATTGTCAATCAGGGATTGAACTTCAGCAAAAGACAGAGAATTGCTGTCTAGCAGGAAAAGTCAGTGTTGGGTTTCTGTTAAAAAAAGATGAAGACAATTTGTGGCAAGTTCAAAGCATATACCATACAGTTAAAGATTCATATATTTTACTATATTCAAATTTAAAAGCTGTTTATGCAGAAGAGGAAAGCCAAGCTTAGATCGGGAGACTGTGTTTCAGTACTTATTGGCAGTAAAGGATTAGAACCAGGTGATCTATAGAATGCTTCTAGATCAATTAGAGAGAAAAAGCAAAGCTATAAAAATAGGGGTAAGAATTATAGACAGGAAATTCGCAACATAGGAACTCACAGGGTAGATGAACATTAAAAGGGGTATGCCTGCTGTCATCAATGGATTTAGATCAGTACTGCATACTAGTTCATGCCTGACAGGTGGGTAGACATTTAAAAACTCAACAAAACCAATTGTTGGAGAATATATCAAACATAGGGGCTAATAAACATTTTTACTGAGCACATAAAGGGGCTCAAAATTGGGAAATGTAAACAAAAGAAAAATACAAAAAATAAATGCTGGAGAATTATTTGATAGTCTCTAGTAAAGTTGAAACTTTACATTCTCAATCCAGCAAGTTCCACTCCTGGCAGTGTGTGTGTGTGTGTGTACATTATAGCTGGGTGTGATTTTAATCCCAGCACTTGGGAGGGATTAAAATCCAGAGGCAGGCCGGGTGTGGTGGCACATGCCTTTAATCCCAGCACTCGGGAGGCAGAGGCAGGTGGATCTCTGTGAGCTCAAGGCCAGCCTGGTCTACATAGTGAGTTCCAGGACACCTGGTGCTACAGGGTGACCCTGTCTCAAAAAGACCCCCCCCAAAAAAATCTAGAGCCAGGTAGATTTCTGTGAGATCAAGGCTACCCTGATCGACATTGTGAGTTCAAGACCAGTTGTGGCTTCATGAAGACCCTGTCTCAAAACAACAACAAATAATTTTTAAAAAATCCAAAACATTTATTGTACATTTATTCCTATAATGAATATAATTATATGATATGTAATGTCACTAACATACACACATATGCCTGGAGAAACTCTGATCTATGTTTATAAGAAGAGACCATAGAACATTGTTACAACATCATTGGTAATACTGCAGAACTGGAAAGAACCTAATGTTTCTAAATAAGGTTGTGGGTGAGTAAGTGATAATATATTCTCCATAGAAAACTGAAGAGTAGGGATGATGAAATAAACAAGAATTGGATGTAGCCATGTAATTAATTCGTCTGCCCTGTGCAAGAGTGAGCAGAAAAGACAGTTGTGCAGGACCTGTCCAGCAGGGTGACATTTATGTAGTCTATGATTGGAGTCATGCTCTCTGTGTTCAGCATGATGAGATGGAGTAAAAAGTATCCAGTAAATGCAGGAAAATGGTTCCCTGCAGTTTGTGAGGGGGAGGGAAGGGGGAGTAAGGTGGGGAGGGGTGCATCTGGGGCTCAAGCACATCTTCCTTTAAAAGATCTTAAGCAAGCTGGATGCAGTGTCACATGCCACATGTCACATCAGGAGGATTGCTTGTACCCAAGAGTTTGACTCTACCTGGGCAACACAGTACCTGGTCTCAAAAAAGAAAGATAAGAAGTGGGGAGAGAGAGATAGGAAGGAAGGGAAAGGGAGAAGGAGGAATAATGATGATGATGATGATGATGATGATGATAATAATAATGAGATATTTAAACAACTATGAAGAAGTTAAGATTTGACAAAACTACCAAATGGGTACCTGGATATTTATTTATTCTACATGAGTGTGTAGAATAAGTGTGTGTGTGTGTGTGTGTGTGTGTGTGTGTGTAGTGTGTTTGAAATACTTCATGATTTAAGAAGAGTAAAAGAACTAGGCAGTTTTCCTTAGTGTGTAACCAGTCATCAGGACTTCCCCACCCATGACATCAAGCTTTTTCTCTTCTCTCCTCCAGGCCCTCTTTAAACTGTGGGGCTCCCCAGAAAAGTACCCCAAAGATGTCCTGACATACACCGAGCTGGTGTTGGACTCCCAGGGCCAGCTGGTGGAGATGAACCGGCTTCCCGGTGGGAATGAGGTAGGAGCTGCATGGAGCCACCCAGGCTGGAGTCAGCCTGCTTCATGTTTCCTAGAACCAAGTCCATTTTCCTTAGCACTCATCTCCTTCCCAGGTGGGCATGGTGGCCTTCAAAATGAGGTTTAAGACTCCAGAGTATCCAGAAGGGCGGGACATCATTGTCATCAGCAACGACATCACCTTCCACATCGGCTCTTTCGGCGTAGGAGAGGACTTCCTGTACCTGCGGGCATCTGAGATGGCCCGGATAGAGGGCATCCCCAAAGTCTATCTGGCTGCCAACAGTGGGGCCCGACTTGGCCTGGCTGAGGAGATCAAACATATATTCCAAGTGGCCTGGGTGGACCCCAAAGATCCCCACAAAGTATGTCATGAAGTAGTGGGGGAGGGGATAGCGTGATGCAGCTCAGCTGCTGGTATAGGTTGAACATCCCTAATCCAAAAGGCTCAAATCTGCCATGCTTTGGAACCCAACCTTGTCTGATTGCTAGTTGTGATGTCCCAAGTGGAAAATGCCACACCTGGCCTCATGGGATGCCTTTCAGTCAGAACTCAGGTACACTGAAGATGCCATGTGGGTGCCTTCAGCCAGGAGTGTCGGGTATCTGTGCAACACAGATGAACTTTATATTTAGACCTGAGTCCCACTTCCAGGATATTTCATTATTATATTCAAATACTCCAATCAAAAAAAATCAAAATCCAAAATGCTTTTTTCTGGTCCTGTGCATTTCAAATAAGAGCTACCCAGCCTGTATTGTCTTGGCTGTGCAGTAATCCCTCTTGTAGGACCGTGGGGCGAGATCTTTATGTGTATAACATAGATGCACACATTGAACATAAGCAGCCCACCATGTGTGGGTGGAATTACCATTTACCAGGCCAGGCAAAGAGGCACATGCTTGTAATCCTGGCACCTGGGAGGTTGAAGTGGGAGAGTTCTAAGACAGCCTGGGCTCTGTGGTGAGGCCTGTCTCAGAAAACAAAAGGCGGGAAACAAAAACATAACAAATGCATTGGGTCATGGTGACTAAGTAGGAAATGTCTGAAAAGAGTCCTTGGGGTAACCATAATGAAATCTTACAGACAATTAGGTGATATATATTGGGCTTCTGAATGCTGTTTGCACCCAGAATGTAAGTGAATATGGCCCCATGCACTGGCCTTAGAGAGTTCTTTGTAGTGTGTATGTGCAGGGGGCGGGGGGAGCACATGTAGCAGTCAGAGGACATGCCTTCCACCTTCTGTTTGAGACAGGTTCTCTCAGTGGTTTGGAACTCGCCAGGTCAGCAAGGCTGGCTGGCTAGCAGGCTTCCGGGGAACCTGGTTATCTTTGCATTGCTGGAACTACAGTAGGCATTGCCACTGGACCCAGTTTTTCGTGTGGGCTCTGGGGATCTAAAGTCAGGTCCTCGTGCTCTGGGGGAAGTGTGTTATCAACTGAGCCATCTCCCCAGCCCTCTTAGAGGACTTTTTAAAGTCCCCTGGAGCTGTGTACGCCACCCGTGATAAACAGCACCATGGGCACTGTGACCTGAGACAATGGGGTGGTCACTTTCTAACCAGAACATGCATCCTGCAGACAGCATCACCTTCTCCCTAAAGAAATATTTTTTTATATTCATTTCTTCTGCAGGTTGGTCAACCTTGGTCCAAACATTTGAAATCCCAAAATGCCCTGTAATCTGATACGTTTGGGTACTAATGTCATGACTGAAGTAGAAAATTCTACCCATACCTGAGCTCGTGGTGGGTCCCAGTGAAAATGCACAGGATTATGAAAAAGCGTTATAGAATTACCTTTAGCCAGTAAGGCACCCGTGAAACATAATGAATTTCATGTTTAGATTTGGGTTGTGTCACCATGTCTCCGTAGGCAGGTGCAGATAGTCCAAAGCTCAGACATATTCAGGATCTGAAGAGCCTCTGGTCCCAGGCATCTGCGCATGCACACAACGCGCACACTCACGCACACACGCATGCATGCACGTACATGCACAGACATGCACATGCTCCCTAAACAATACATAGCCAGGAAGAGAAAGAAGCTGTGTTAGGGTGGGGAAGAGCTAAACTCCGAGTAGACCTGTGCTTTACAGCTGTTTATAAACATGAGGCATGCTAATGTGCTTTGGCATTTTATTGACATCCACCTTAGACAGTGTTGACAGTAAAAAAAAAAAAAATACGGTGGCTCTTGAGTTCAGGGAACTGGATTCACAGGCTCACTGAAGTCTGTTCTTGTAGGGATTTAAATACCTGTACCTGACCCCCCAAGACTACACCCGAATCAGTTCCCAGAACTCCGTGCACTGCAAACACATTGAGGATGACGGTGAATCCAGGTAAACACTATGAATGAAGTCTCTGAATGAACTGCAGTTCATCCCAGCTTTGCAGGGGCATGCATCTCTTTGCGTCCAGGCTTGTGGGTGGTTTGTAGGAGAGGACCCCTGAGCCTCTGTGTGGGATACTGATGACCTAACCATTTGGGACATTCTCCAAGGTAAACCCAGTGTGTTACTTACTTTTGTATTGCTGTGATAAAACACCATGACCAAGGCAACTTATAGAAGAAAGAATTTATTTTGGCTTATGGTTCCAGCGGGAGAGTCCATAATGTCCAAATTATCCAAAATGATACGGTAGTCATCTGGTGACCTGGGAAGGTGTGGGGGGGTGGGGTAGGCAGGGGTCTGTTTTCTGAGAATGTCAGTGGCTCCCAGCTATCTTTGTCCAGGGCTGTGTGTTTTTCATTAGTGGAATAAACCAAGCCATAATGATCAAATAACTTTCTAGAATGTGCATGACATGAAAGAACATTTTTTAAAATTCCATACTGAAATAAGTTTGGGAAACACTAGGTTAAATGAGGTCAACAAAAGATCTTTCCCACAAACCTACTCAGGATAAAGTTTGGGAAACACTAGGTTAAATGAGGTCAACAAAAGATCTTTCCCACAAACCTACTCAGGACGTTTACCATGCTAAAGTACTTTGTGTATCTTACCCTTTGGAAGTCATGGAATCTTAGCTGATTGATCATCAACAAAGTGCTTTCCCCCATGCACCCCATTGTCTCCACGGACCAAAGGTCAAGCTAGTTTTGCTCTATAGGATATGGGGTGGGATGGCGTTTCACTTAAAACCTCTGGACAGGCAGATACCCTTGGTTGAGGGAAGGATGGTCATTGTTGATATTGACCTAGGCCTTTTGGAAATTTTAGCCCCAACCCTGAGAACTCTAACCCCATTTCCACCTTACCTCAATCTGTTTTTCATATCCCAATGTCTGTCTCTGCTTGTCCCTCCTGCCTTGGTTGGATCCTTGGGAAGTGTGTCCATCCTAGATGTTTTTGGACAGGAGCCTTGTCTTTAGCCATGTTTGGTCCTTGCAGGTACGTCATTGTGGACATCATTGGGAAGGATAGCAACCTGGGCGTAGAAAACCTGAGCGGCTCGGGCATGATTGCAGGAGAGGCCTCCCTGTCTTATGAAGAGGTCGTCACCATTAGCATGGTGAGGTCACCATTAGCCTCCTGATCTCTTTCTTTTTTTCTTTTCTTTTCTTCTCTTCTCTTCTCTTCTCTCCTCTCCTCTCCTCTCCTCTCCTCTCCTCCTCTCTCTCCTCTCTCTCCTCATGTGTGTGAAAGCCAGAGGTCAGTGTGAGGTGTCTTCTTCAGTTGCTTTCCACTTAATTTTTTTGAGACAGTCTCACTGAATCTGAAAGTTACCAGTATGGCTGGACAGCAAACCCCAGGGATCTGCCTCTCTGCTTCCCCAGCACTGGGGTTACAGGCTCATACTACCATGCCTAGGTTTATATGGGTGCTGGGAACCCAAACTCAGGTTCTCTTGCTTGCATGACTGAGCCATCTCCCGAGGCCCTCAAACTCATGAGCCTTCCTGCCTCAGCCTCCCAAGTGCTGGAACCGAGCAAACTCAGCTTTTCCCATTTTATATGTAAATATAATCCTACCAACACACCAACAAAATCAGCAGTTCTTTAGTGTCAGAGCCTGCTTTGGTTTCAAGTTTTTAACAGTTGTCTCAAAAGTGTTTGCTTGGTTTGTTGAATCAGAATCTACACTTCTCCAATTTCATCTCCTCTTTTATTAGATTTATTTATGATTTATGTGTATGTGTGTGTGTGTGCTTGCATGAGTTTATAGTGCCCAATGTATGTGCCTATCAAGAACAGAAGAGGACGCTGGAGCCCCCGGAACTGGAGTTACTAATGGTTGTTAGCCACCATGTGGGTGCTGGGAATTGAACCTGGGTTCTCTGCAAAAGCAATCAGTGCTTTTAACCACTGAACCATCTCTCCAGCCCCACTTTTCCTATTTTAAAGGTGGCAAGTGCACCCCTATAATCTCAGCACTTGGGAGGCAGAGACAGGAGAATCACTGAACTTTCAAGCCAGCCTGGTCTACATGGCAAGTTCCAGGCCAGGCACAGCTACATAGTAAGACCCTGTCTTAAAAGAAAAGAAATATAAAATTAACTAAAATTAAAACATAGGGGCCCGGTGAGATGCCTCAGTGGGAAAAGGCATTTGCCACTCAACCCAATGACCTGAGTTCAATCCCAGAACCCACATGGTAGAATAGGAGAACCAACTCCCACTAGTGTCCTCTGGCCTATACACCACATGGTGACACATGCACTTACACACACACACACACACACACACACACACACACACACAAATAAATGTAAAAATTTTAAGTAAAGCATAAAATTGTGGCATGTGACAGTACTCTTTATGACAAACTGTCACTCTAGGCCTAGTTCACATGCAGCATTGGATCATTGGTTTACGAGGTAGAGCATGCTGAGTGTTGAGTGCCTTTCTATGGCTTTTTTTTTCTGACCCTATATAGAAGCAGGATATGCCTTATAATTTTGACATTGTTTAGGACTTTCCAGAAGTTAGAAGCCTGTACAGAGGGTACCCTGTATCCTTCCTCCAGCCCTGTCCCAAATTGCAGAAAGAAACACAGGAAGGTGGTGCTGGCCTAGGAGTGCTGGCTTGGCATAGACCTTACTCTGGTCTCGTTGATTTTCACACCTGCTCCCAGGTGTACTTTTGGTTGTGCTAGGGACTGCCATGTGAGTTTAGAAGAGCAATGCACAAACATCCTCAGATCCAGACAGTCAGCACCTGCCATTTGCTTTTCCAACCCTCTTCTGGCTTAATCATGTTCTTTTCAGATAGAAAGACGCGTTGTCCTCTTCCTGTGACTATGAAGAATGCCCAGAATAATCAGCGTATAAAAGAAAAAGTTTTTTTTCGGACTCAGAAATTTAGAGGTTTCACTCAACAATCTCTTGGCCCTGTTGCTTTGGAGCTGCTGCAGGAATGTGGCAGAGCTCAATGACTCAGCTAAGGCAGGGAAGCCAAAGTGATGGGCAAAGGGGCTGGTGTCGCACACTCCTCACAACAGGCCTCTAGTTCCCTAAGGACTCCCCACTTGTAAAATGTCCACCACCTTTAATACAAAACCTGGAGGACATTTAAGATGCGGATGATAACAGAGGCCAAACTCTAACAGGTTCTGGAAGGAAAATAGCCTCCGGCCAGCTCTAGTACACACCTGTAATCCTGACACCTGGGAGGAGGAGTCAGGATGATGATCACAACTTCAAGGGCAGCCTGGTCTACATAGTGAGTTCTAGGCCAGCCATGGGTATATCGTGAGACACTGTCTCAAAACAACAAAAAACCAGGGCCAGCAAGATGGCTCAGTGGGTAAGAGTGCTTGCCACACAAGCCTGATGACCTGGGATCGATCTCAGGAAGCCACAGTGGAAGGAGAGAACAGACTTCACAAAGTTGTCATCTGACCTCTATACAGGTGCTGTGTTGCACTCATACACACAAATAATAAATATAATAAAAATTTTAAACACGCAAAAAGAATAAATAGGTTCTTACTTGCTGTTTGGCCTCAAATTGGGTCACTATTGGCCCAGATACAACTTCTATTTGTGCCCAGCAGGTTGCTGGGCTACCCTCTGTGGAGGTGTGCCTGTACCATCTGGACTTCAGAAGGGATTCTATCTCCACAGGTGACCTGCCGTGCCCTTGGAATCGGGGCCTACTTGGTGAGGCTTGGCCAACGGGTGATCCAGGTGGAGAATTCCCACATCATTCTCACTGGAGCCAGCGCTCTCAACAAGGTGCTTGAGGCCTGTAAGGGGGAAGGCTATGGGAACCAGGTCATCTATACATTCCTGTCGTTCACCTATGGGGGTTCCCAGTGTGAAGCCAGTTTCATTCCTACTGGTGTGAGAACATTTTTGCTCTCATAAAATCAGTGAGAATCAGTGGCTCTCAAATCAGGATACATTATTGGAATTGCCTGGAAACCTTAAAAACACCAGAACCAGGCAGGGTGTGGTGGCACACACCTTTAACCCCAGTACTCTGGAGGCAGAAGGAAGTGGATCTCTGAGATATTGAGGCCAGCCTGATCTACATAGTGAGTTGCAGGCCAGCTGGGGCTACAAGGGAGAGAGGCCCTGTCTCAAAAAAAAAAAAGTCGCAGGGACCACTGATGGCTAATATTACCCCTGAAAGACCCCAGGTACAGCCTGGATGGCAGGAGTTCCAGAAGCTCCTGGGCAATTCTGATGTGCACCAGAATAAGGACCTAGCAAGACAATTTCTAGAAGGTGGAAGGGTTTGCTAACTGCTGTGTCAAAGCAGGTTCTGGGAAGAGAGGTCTACACATCTAATAACCAGCTGGGAGGTGTACAGATCATGCATACCAATGGTGTCTCCCATGTCACTGTGCCAGATGACTTCGAGGGAGTCTGTACCATATTGGAGTGGCTGTCCTATATACCGAAGGTGAGGCGTTCCCGGCAACCTGGAGCTGAGGAACCAGTGAGGTCAAGTTCATTTGCTGACTCATTCCTGGGGACAGAGAGCACTGAGGCTTTGTCTTGCCTTCCCTCTTTGACACCCAACCCTATCCTAACAGTTTTCTGCTCTTGGGAAGGCTCTGATGTGCCATAAGGATGCTGTCTGCTCATCCTTTAGAAAAGGTGGCATTGGATCATAGCAAGCCTCAAACCCCATGGTCAGCCTGGATTCATTTCCTGGTTTCTTCTCAAGCACTGTGATCCTAGGGCAGTCTCTTAATCTGAGTCTCCATTTCTTCATCTGTGAAGTTCTGTTACCATGGTAATGAAGTAGACAAATACCAAGGCTCAGCACACTGTAGACCTTCCCCAAAGGCTACTTCTGAATATGCTGATTAGTGATTTATAGTTCACATGGGCCTCCATTATCTAGATCTTGACTAGGCAGATATTTGAGCCTCAGTTTCTTCAAGTGCCCAGTGGAGAGAATGCTGGTCCTGGGTGACTCACAGGGGTCCTCTGAGCGGCAGTGTTGGAAGTAGGTCATCCTTGCCATGGGTCTTGCTAACTGTAACCTTGACATGGGCAGTGCTCCAGCTCATCATTATTTCTGAAAGGTGGTTTTCTAGACTTCAGCCTATCCTAGCCCATCTGCCAAGAACTCCACATTTAAATATTATAAATGTCAGTTCTGGGCTAGTGAGACGGCTCAGCAAGTAAAAGCGCTTGGCTTGCAAGCCTAACCGCCCGAGTTTGATCCCCCAAGTCAATGTAACGGTAGAAGGAGAGAACTGTCTCCTGAAAGTTGTCCTCTGACCTCCACATGGGCATGTGCACACACTATAAAAAAATTAAAAGGAATGTCAGTTCTTACCTCCCCCCGTGCTCCTTTCTCCCTCCCCTTTCTTCTGCTTCCCACTTTCAGGTATTCAAAAACTAGATTTCAAAAGAATGTCTGTATAGCAGTCACTTAACGTTTCCAGCCAGAACAGTGGCTTGGAGGCCAGTGAGGGTGCTGCTGCGCGGCCAGGCACATAGTCAGAGGGGAAAGCACTGGACGTACCACAGGACCCACTGACACTCCCTGGAGACTGAGCCGGTACCGCTCTTTCCTAGGATAATCACAGCCCTGTCCCCATCATCACACCCACTGACCCCATTGGCAGAGAAATTGAATTCATCCCATCCAGAGCTCCCTACGACCCCCGGTGGCTGCTTGCAGGAAGACCTCACCCAAGTAAGTCCTCAGATGTTTGCCTGGAACCTGATGCGGGGTTCTTTTCTGAGTTGTGTTTGTTTCTGTTTCTCAGAGGGTTCATGACAGCTCATATGGGGGGAGGTGAGGGGTGAAGGCTGTGCTCTGTGTTCTTCCTAAAATAGCTCCAGTTTCCAGAGCTAAGAGTTGGAGTTGAGCCTAAGCAATGGCTACAAGCCTCCCAGAACTGCTCTGTGTCCACGCCTCCCTCCTGCTTCTCTCTCTGGCTAGACATTTACAAAAGTGGCCATTCCTGTATGTTCCCTTCCTAGGGAGCCTTTGCCTCCTCGAGATATGTTATATTCTGAGCACCCACCCAGACAGGAAAACTGAGCTCTCCTGTCTCCCTGTCCCGCTTCTAGAATTTAACTGGCAGCTGCTTTCAGCTACCTGTCCAGCTGTGCTGGGCAGGAGGCAAGGACCTCAAGGAGCATGCCTGCCTCCCACCAGCAGAGGGCGCTCCATGGCTTGCTTCTTCCTTTCTCTGGCACTTTCCTTTTTCTGGCACAGTCCTGGAGGACTGGCTGTATCTCCATTAAAAGGCATTCAGCTTCTTACCCATGGTGCTCTGGATCCTATGGTGCCCACCCTTTGCCCCAAGGCAGAGAGTGAAGGGGAGACTATTCCCAGGCACCCAGCCTCCTGCTCCCTCCTTGAGTCACCTGCTGTCAGGCCCTTCCTCCTCTTGTCAGTGTGGCAGCCATCACTCTGAGCTCCCCTTCCCCTCCCCTGTGCTGTCACAGCCTCTCTGGGAAATGTGATGACTCAGTGGCTACTGGGTTGCAACTAATGGGCCAGGATGAGTTTCCAGGGCTAGTGGCCTCTTCCTGAAATCCCACCTTGTGGGAGGAAGGCATTCCCCAGTTCTCTCATCTGGGCCTGTTGAGATGTGAGCACATCTGACATGAATGGGCAGTTGAAGGGAGTCAGATGTTTCATGGAATTGAATTCCTGGCTTGATGTAGCTTTTGTAACCATGGCTTTGGTTGGTCAATTGGTTTTTGTTTTTTCTGATTGTTTTATTTTGTTTTGTATGTGTTTTGTTTTCTTTTGGGTGAGGAGCTAGAATCTCATGGTTGTCAGTGGAAAAAGATAGAGTACTATTAGGGCAAAACCAGGGCACCAGCAGTGTGCCTGACCAGGCAGAGCCTAGGCTTCATCAACCCTCAGCTGAGACCTCCACCTTCTACCCACAGCTCTGAAGGGAACCTGGCAGAGTGGGTTCTTCGACCATGGCAGTTTCAAGGAAATCATGGCACCTTGGGCCCAGACTGTGGTGACAGGACGAGCCAGGTAACCTGAGACTGGGTGAGCTCTCACATCTGCCCCCTGGCCCTGGGACTCTCAGCTACTCTGCTGGGGCCCTTTGCTCCTTGGTCTCTAGATTTTACGAAAGTAGAAACCAATCTGAGGGGCTAAAGAGATGACTCAATGGGCAAAGTACTTACTCTGTAAGCATGAGGACCTGAGTTCGAATCCCTAGCAAAACATAAAAAGCACCATGTACTTGCAATCCCGCCAGTGGGGTTGTAGAGTAAGATCCCTGCAGCTTGCTGGCCAGCCAGTCTAGGTGCATCTATAAGTTCCAAGTTCAGTGAAAGACTCCATGTCAGAAAACAGGGTGGAGAGTAAGAGCTGCAACCCTTGTTCTAGCATCAGTCCCATAGTCTCAGGGTCACCTTAGGTGTCCCTGGGGAAAGGGGCTTAAATGTTTTCAGAGCACAGTAGCTCACCCATTAGTGGCTCATGCCCATCACGAGGCAGTAGGCTCTTCCCTTCAGTTGAGGTCAAAGCTGTGTCTTTGTAACTTACCACCACTCGATTCCCAGCAGGACATTCGTCATAGCTACAAATCCAGGCTCTGAGGTTGGCCCCAAGGTCAGGACCAGTCAGGCCCAGCTCCACAGACTACCTTCTCCAGGCCTCCACCTCCTCCTCTGACAAATGGAGATAATTCAGCCTAAAGAATTATCATGACAGTCAGAGCAGCAGCACGGCTGCTAAGTGCTTCAAATATGTCAAGTGCTCTCTATATGGCCATGGCTGTTCTTACTGTTTATATCCTGGGCAATAAATATTAAAATTGTAAGCACAGGGCCTTGAGATGGCTCAACCAGACAAGCACTTGCTGCGTAAGCCCACCGACCTGAGTTTGATCACAAGAACCCAATTAAAGGTGGAAGGAGAGAACTGACTTCACAAAGTTATCTTCTGATTTCTACACATGTGTGCACACACACACAGAATAATAGTAAATTATGTTTGTTTTAATTGTAAGCATAGCATTGGCCTTTAGTGCTTCCCCCTAAGTGTTTCTTTTACAAACTCCTTTTGTGAAATCCTGGGATGAAATCTCCTTTCCCGACATGGAGCCCTCCCCGTGGAGACCGCTGTCCCCACCCTGCCTGGTAGGATGGTTTCAGGGATAAAGGACAGTGGTACAGCGATAGCTCTGGCTGCCGATAGCCCAGACGGCAGGTACCGATGTCAGTCTCTCTGAGGCAGGCCCACTGTGCACAGTATTCTTCACTTCTGTTCTTGTTTGTGTGTACTGGGGATGGAACCCAGGGCCTCATGCATGCCGGGTAAGTGCTGTACCACTGAGCTACTTCTCCAGACCTCTTTACTTTTTATTTTAAGCCATGTCTTGCTGTGTCACCTAGGCTAGCCATGAACTCCTGATCTTCCTGCTTCAGCCTCCTAAGTAGCTGGGATGACAGGCCTGTGCGAGCATTCCCAGCTTGCCTCAGCCCAGAACAACTTGGTGACAGTACCCGAGCTGCCCAGTGTGGTAGCTGCTGGCCACATGTGATGATTTAAGTTGAAATTTAGGGTCAAGGAAGTGGCTTAGTGGTAAAACACTTGCCTGGCATGTGCAAGGTCCTGAGTTCCATCCCAGAAAGAAAATCTCAAGTTGAAATTAAAGTGACAGAGGAGGATGACCAGTTTCTGGGATGCACTCACATGCCACTCACAGATTTCATCTTAGATGCGTGGCCTGAGGCATGGGAAGTTCTTGTGGGTCCCCCTACCACAGCCCTTGCCCTGCACCACTGTCCCCACAGTTCTCACCCAATATGCTTACCTGTAGCTCTGCCCACCTGTGAGGTTCTTCACACTGTGGAACTTCCACTTTACCTCCCAGTAAGATAATCTACCTCATTTAAGCCAGACAGCTCCCCCAAATGCCCTCATCCCCACCTGGCAATACCTGCAGCAGGCTGGATGGATCCTGGGCCCCCGAGATCTGTCTGGGGTACTGTCCAATGTGCTGCCCAGGACTGAACTCACGTGCGCTTACCTTGCAGACTGGGTGGCATCCCTGTGGGAGTGATTGCCGTGGAGACGAGGACTGTGGAGGTGGCCGTTCCTGCAGACCCTGCTAACCTGGATTCTGAGGCCAAGGTGAGGAACAGAAGCCATGACCATGTGGCCACTGTGCCCACAGGAGTGAATCCTGTTTTTCAGCCCGAAGAAGCTTCCACATGCATGAGAGACAGGAAGCAGAGGCCTGCAGCAAGGCTTGGCCTGCCCCCGCCCATCAAGTCTCCCTACCACATCCCCATGGGACACAATGTTCCATTTTGGGCTTCTTCCCAGGGGTGGTAAAGGTCCCTCATCCCAGTCTCCACTGTCCTCCTAAAGAGAGCCTGGGAGCTGCCCCCCAACCCCTGCCAAGTCTCCACACTCCTTCTGATGCCAGGAGCTGCTCAGGTTCAGGGTTAGATCCAGGGCCTCAATGTGCAGAACTGCACCTCAGCCTTAACTAGTGTGGTACCAAGCTGTGTACAAGGACTGGGGGACCCTAGAGTCCTAAGTACATGGGCTTTGAGTCCCCTTGGACCCCTTGCTCTGGCATCAGTGTCTGTGTAGAGCAGGCAGCCAGCCCTCAGAATGAGGCTGTGGTTGCCATCCCTATGTCCCAGGGTCACCATCTGACCTCAGTGGCTCTGTGTCACAGATAATCCAGCAGGCCGGCCAAGTGTGGTTTCCGGACTCTGCCTACAAAACGGCGCAGGTCATCAGGGACTTCAACCGGGAGCAGCTGCCTCTCATGATCTTTGCCAACTGGAGGGGCTTCTCCGGTGGCATGAAGGGTAAGGCCAGCCCCTCTGAGTGTCACTTCTCTGTCATATAGTCTATACCTCTCAGTAGCCAGAAATGAGGCAGATCAGGTAACACGCCTGGTTTAGCAATGAGGAACTGAGCCTGGGAGGCAGGCTGACTTCATGGGGTGACATGAGGGTCAGGGCAGGAGGTCTGCTCTTCAGGCTCCCTGCGTGGTAAGATGAGGAGGATGGTGTCCATCACCTTCCTTGAGTCTGGTCTTATAATCGCACATGTCCCTTTAAACCACCCAGAATGTCTACAGAGTGACTCCCAGTGGCTGCCAAGGAAGGAGCTGGGATAGGAGGCAGGCACCTGTGCTGTATGTCCTTGCTGACTGGGTAACCTCTCTGAATCCTCACGCCCCCTTTTAATAATGGGAGTAAGAAAAGGACCCACGTCAGAGGACTGTGTGCTAAGTTCCAGTGTGCTAAGTTCCACACTTGGTGCTGTTTTTATTGATGTCACTATTGCAATGTTACCACATAGATACCCAGGACTTGGAGGGATGTCTACTGGTGAGGCATGAGGACTGTGCTGCTCACAGGCAGGACAGAGGGACCGATGCTATGTGTATGCAGGGGGAGGGGACACTGGAAACACGGTTGAGCCCAGGACAGCCTGGCTTTGTGGGTCTGTCACTGAGGCCCAGGCCACCTAAGCTGCCTGTCTTTGCAGACATGTATGAACAGATGTTGAAGTTTGGAGCCTACATCGTGGACGGCCTCCGGCAATACAAGCAGCCCATCCTCCTCTACATTCCCCCTTATGCTGAGCTCCGAGGGGGCTCCTGGGTCGTCCTGGACTCCACCATCAATCCCCTGTGCATAGAAATGTATGCGGACAAAGAGAGCAGGTGGGTGTTGCCCAGCTCCTCACCTCTGAGCCATTGACTGAGAACCCTGGGGTGTTCTCCTTGATAGAGTGTTGCCGGTGTCACACCCTCCCCAAAGTAAGGCAGCATGCAGTTGGATTTTCTCAGCAGAGTTAGTGGCTGGCACCCAGAGAAGAACTTCTTTTATTAACTTATATTTACTTCCCTCCCGAGGAAGTTCGCATTAAAATCAACAACAAAAACCAACCAACCAAACAAACAAAACAAAAACAAAAGCACTTGAGCTTCCAGGCAGCCAGAATAAAGAAGAAAACACAATGAGTTGTGTATCTCTCATAGACTGAGTCTAGCAGTGTTAGACTCGGTACCTGACTATTGGTCAGGTGGGCAGGAAGCAGTGCTGAATAAATAATGGAACGAATGGGCATGTGCCAGGATACTGGCTCTTCTTGGTGAGAAACCACAACCCTTCCTTTGAGAAGAATTTATCCTAGAAAAGATGATGATGTAATGCCTACAGCCTAATTGACACTTTCAAGATGAGCCCTCTATGCTACATGCTGTTGGATGGGCGGTCCTCAGAGGTAGGTCTACCCCAAATATAGGCATAGCATTCCTGTGTTCACGCCTTCCTTCCTTCATTAACTCAGTGAGCACTTATTAAGTATCTGCTGTGCGCCTGGCATTTTGTTGGGTACTGTGTTATGGTGACAGATGAGCCAAGCCTGACCTGCTTTCATGGTGCCTAGACCCTCACAGAGAGCTAGTGACGTCAGTGCTCAGGAGGACTGGTGATCCTGAGCAGCACCTCAATAGGGTCACTATTAACTTTTCCCTCTGGCTACCAGGAAGCTCAGAGCTGCCAGGAGAATTCCTCAGGGCTTCGGTGTTAGTTACTTCTCCCCTTGCTGTGGCAGAATACCTGACAGGAGCAACTGAAGAGCGGATTTACTCATAGTTTGAAGGCATGCAATCCCCTATGGTGGGGAAACATGGCAGCAGATGGCGCCATGGCAGTGGGAGTGTGCAGCTGGGATCCCTCACCTCACCTTAATCAGAGACAGGACAAGAATGGGGCCAGACTATGGGCTTCAAGGCTCACTTCCCAGAGACCCACTTCCTACAGCCATACCCCACCTCCCAAAGGATGCACAACCTCCCACAATAGTGCCACCTGCTGGAGACTGAGTGTTTGAAGATATGAGTCTGTGGGGCCACTTCACATCAGAGGGACTGGCTAGAAGATCCAGAAGAGTGAATGGAGGTGATCTGTCTCTACAGGTCCACACTGGGCTCCCACCGTGCCGCTCTGAAACTATCCTGACTCCAGGGGTCAGAAATTAGGAGAGTCAGTACCCGGTGATTTGCAGAATAGGAAGTTTGGTGGTCATGTGCTTTTGCAGCCCAGAGGGCTGCAGAGTTCAGAAAGCACTGCTTTTAAAAGTTGCCTCCAGGGGCAGGGGAGCTGGCTCCCAGTAAAGTTCTTGTTGCACAAGCTTGAGGACCTGAGTTGGGATCCCAAGCACCACATAAAAGCTGGGTGTGGCAGTGTGCACCTGTAACCCCAGCACTGCGGATGGGCAGAGACAGGAAGATCCCTGGAAGTGACTGGCTGGCAAGTCTAGCTAAATCAGTGAGCTCTAGGTTCAGTGAGAGACCTTGTCTCAAAAACTAAGGTGGAGAGCACTAAGGTGGAGAGGAAGATAGATGCTGATGTCCACCTGTGGCCTCCATATGCTCTCTCTCTCTCTCTCTCTCTCTCTCTCTCTCTCTCTCTCTCTC